CACCCTGCTGGCCAACTGGACGTCATTGTGTGCTTTTCTGACATTGCATGTCACTCAACATCTTGATTAACCAACGTTTTGACTTCACAAACACGTTGACTTGACTATGGGCCTGGCTCATAAGGAAACGTTACCGTATTTACTCCTTAAAGCAACCCTACGAGGTGAGATCTACTCTTACACCTCCGTTTGGCAGCTGAGCCCCGTGCGCAGGGCTGGGCCGGGAGGCAGGTGGTGTGACCCTGCGGTCTTCGGGCATCTGCTCCGAGCCGGACCCCTGTCTGAGGCTCTCAGACGCCCAGTGCTGCCCAGCACGGCCTCACCCAGGACATCACCTTCTCTCCACGGTGTGGCCTCATCTTGGTTGACCAGGTTCCCCCACTGCTGAGCGAAGGGTGGTCCAGGACCAGAAGTGTCAGCGGCCGTTCCCGGGTTCCTCCCCAGACCTCCATCCCAGAACCTGAAGCCCTGGGGGGCCCAGGGATCTGTGATGACTCTCAAGTTTGAGAATGACGCCCTAACTCCGCCATCCGGGGGCTCTGTCCTCAATGCCCCCACACTTCTCTGCCTGGCTCCCCTTCCCTGCCTTTCTCGGAAACTTCCTGCAGTCTCCCCTCCACGGCCAGTGCCCTGTCCCTCTTCAAAGCCACTCCTGAATGTCACTAATTGGTGAAGTCTTTCCCTCCATCTCCACGCCTGTTCTTGTAACCAGCCCTGTGATCTCTCCTCAGAATAATCTTCACATTTTGTACCTAGCTTTTCCCTTGTAATACTTTTCTCGCTCTGCCTACAGCATCCCTGCTCAGGTCCCCTGAGACTAAACGCCGGCGTCCCACACACGTCCGCGACGGTTCCTGTGTGCAGGGACGTCTTTGGTAAAGCTCTGCACTGAATGACTCCTGTTCACCCGCAGAACGCCTTCTTTAAAAGTTAAGCATATGGACGAAAAAGAGATGAGGAGTGATGACCCACTCTGGCAAAAAAAAAAGTCTTACAGAGAAAGACTGAAAATGTCATCCATTGGCAGGGCAAGTGAAATGATCTCATTCACGTCTCCCATCGAAGCATCTATGCCGTGGCTCCCACCCACAGCTTCCGCATCTGGTTGGGTCGCACGCACCGCCTTGCCCACATCACAGTGAATTTTCCAGAGCAGGTAGAGTTGAGAGTCTGCCGCCAAGTGCTCAGAGTTGAGCGTGTTGCTCCCGCACGGTCTGACTTCACGTTATGATGGCTCATCTATTTTTGCTGGTGGACTACGCGTTCCTTAACTGCATTTCAGCAACCACAGCTCACTGGGTAACTAGAACCACTAGACAGGTCTCCCCTCCTTGAACTGCTAAGTATCAGACCTCCCTTAAGTGCTTGTGATCAGAGAACGTTTTAATGACTGGCTACATTGTTCCAAAAAGATGCATAAATATTTTGCATCTTGGAACATGGCTATGTTAATCAGGTTTTGAGTAACCACGACTCCCACATCCTCCACTGGAACTGGATGCACCGCTGGACACTAAAAGGTCCCGCGCACCCTTCAGGCTCTCTGGTCCATCCTCTTTGCCACAAACATCAAAGAAAACCCCCCAAATCAAGCTTTTTAAGAACTCATTTGGTGGCAAATCTGATCTGAAGCTATTTATAGGCTGTATTCACCCCACTCATTAGGAATTCAGGCTTTTTTTTTCCTGCAGAAATGTTTTTTGAGTAAAGGTTTCTTCTCCAGTGCTCACTGAGGGTTCACCACCAAATATTCAGTGTAGTCACTGTACTGACCTTTTAAGAAAACACAAAAACAAAAACAAAGCCTTAAATCAAAACCACCGCGGACCCTGACGGCAGCAGATAAGGGCTGAGGGCCTCGTTGAAGCCCCAGCATGAGAGTAATCTAAAAAATCCACAGGCTCTTTCCTTGCTTTGTGACATGCATGGACTTCGGGTGCTATAAATAAAGCCACCTTTGATTCCGTAAGTCCAGTGTTGACCCTGCACGTTGGCCAACACCTGAACGCGTCTTTCCAACGGCCTGGAGACGGAGGCCACCAGGACGACCCCTCACTTCCAGATGTCAGGGAAACACTCAGGGTCACACGGTGACCATCCTGGGACCCTGTGACATGCTGGGCACTCACTCCTACTGGAAGCATTTAGAGTCATAAGAACACAGGAAATTAAGCGGGAAGGCTTCTTTCCTACACGTCTATCAGGTTAGAGCTTTCTGGGATAAACTTCTATCAGTTTAATACAACTTCACATATGAAATGGGGCGCACATGTTATGACAGCATTTTATTCAGAATCGTAGTCTCTGTGAGTTGTCCTTTTAAGAAGGGTGAGTGGTGAGATGAATTCTTGCGTGGCTTTTCTCCCCAGATTAAAGTTACTCAGAAGAAGATCCCCCCCACACCCGTGTGGACGCCAGTGGAGCATTTTGTAAGTAATTCCTCTGCCCACTTAAAACATCCAGCTGCGTCAGAAGATTCCACTGTAGAGGTGTTTCATTTGTTTCGTTCTGTGAGAAAACGTGAAGAGAAGCCAGCCTATTCCTTGTGTGGCCTTGAACACATCGGGTGTTTCAGCTGTCCGGACCTTCGGGTTGTCGTGTGAGTTCAAGGTAGTTTTTTAAAAAGTGCCGAAGCACAGAAGCGAGCGCTGAGAGAATGGTGGGCGTGTTTACAGTCGTCATTCTCATCAGGAAGAATGCCAGGCCATCCTCACGTTTTCTGGGAACTTCAGGTAGTCAAAATGTAGACACAGCGCTGACGTCTCACTCAGCCCGCAGAAGCAGTGAAGGCCCTGAGGGGACGGGACAGTGTTGTGAGGTCGCCTGAGAGATGCTCTGCGCTGAGAACACAGGAAACTTGGGTGTGGAACGTGGCAGGTAAAGTCTTCGGGGCCAGGGGCCGAGCCTTCCGGTGAGCGTTTTTGAACTCAGTCAAACGTGTCAGATGCTGGTGGTTCATTACTGACAGCCTTTGAGCAGCTACTGTCTGGGTTTGTAG